CCCCCCCCCCCCCCCCCCCCCCCCCCCCCCCCCCCCCCCCCCCCCCCCCCCCCCCACTGCAGCTGGCATCTTCAGAGGCAAGGTGGTCTGCTACAGAGACTAGAGGCAACTGAGCAAGCGACAGTGTAGCAAACCACCTTGCCTCTGAAGATGCCAGCCAGTTGCCAGCAAAACATCAGGAAATCTGTTGTCTAGACCACGGTCACTAAATCCTGGAGCTTAACACTGCCCAACAAGTACCAACTGTGAAAGCTTACCTCGGTAAACCCAATTTTACCCAAGCCAGTTGTGCAACCCCAGTTGTATAGTTAATTTGTGTTTGGTTTGTTATAAAACTCCAGAAACCCTTTCTCTTCCCCATACCAAGATGTAACCAGCCATTTCATATGTAGAAAATTTTGGGAGATATCCATTTTCTAATTCTTCAGGGAATCATAAAGTAATAAGTGTACTATTTGTTTCAGAGGAAGAGATGAGTAAATGATGTTGCCAAATCAAAGCATGCACCATTGTTATTTTTGATGGCATAATCTCCTGAGGACATCTGGAAGAGGTGCTTCTGTCCCTTCTGTTTGAGACCTTTAACAGGAGTTGCTGTTTGGGAACAAAGGACTGTCTGCATGCAATACCTGAGTAATGGGCTGGTCTCAGTGTTGAAGCCAGGACCCCTTTCCTCCAAATAAAGACTCTGACCTCTTCCCAAGTATGAATGAAGCTCTGCTAAAGAAATCCGCTTACTTCCCTGCAAGAATTCTGGACCCAATAGCATTATGAAATCAAAGAGGGTAGGACTTAATTTTTTTTTGCCATTTTTGAAGGTTTTGGTGGATTTTGAAGGACAAAACGAATTAAGGAGCTTGGGAGCACGGTCCCTTAAAATCTCCTCGAGGCCCAAACACAGACACACGCAAATAAAAAAGTACACAATTAACTCTATTCACTCCAGGTGACTTGGGGGGGTGCCACAAATGGAGTGGTGAAAGACTGAAGGCAACCCCTGTAGCCTATGGGTTCCCCACCCATGCCTTAGATCATGAAGCCCATCATAATTTGCATTTTCTGGAACAAACCCTAATTGGACTAAATTTGTCCCCAGTGCCAAATTATTTGCTATTGAGCTAAGCAGAATTTCATACTGTGCTGAATAAACAAGTCAGTCTACATGAGTAGACTAAGCTGGGTGACTGGTCATTCATTTCAAGAGAACAATAACATCTCAAAGAATACCCAAATGAAAACTGTAAGATCCCCATTGAGGTCTACTCTGATTGTCTGGGTTCAGACCTGAATAGAACTTCATCTGAGCTGAGAGCTGTTGCTCCTTCTCAACAGAGAGGTGATGGTACTTCTGGAAAGGTGTGTATACCTGCATTGCTTAAAACTGGTAAGAAATGAATCAGTGCTTTGGGATGAAGCAAAGAACCAAGCATAATGAAATCACAAGCATATGAGGCCACATTTCCACTCTGTGCTAAACTATCAGTGATTCATGTTCCCCCACCCAAACAGTAGACATAATAGACCAGTGTTTCTCAACCTTGGCAGCTTGAAGATGTGTGGACTCAACCTTGGCAGCTTGAAGATGTGTGGACTTCACCTCCCAGAATTTCCCAGCCAGCCATGCTGGCTGGGGAATTCTGGGAGTTGAAGTCCACACATCTTCAAGTCAACAAGGTTGAGAAACACTGTAATAGACTCTCCCACCCTATATATTAGACAATCTGGAAAAACTTTCACCCCCATCTAAGAAGCGTCTGCTGATCTGTCATCAACCCATGCAATTCCATTCCCTGGAGCTTCTTGTTCCATCTCCCATTTGGCCTACGGGCATGAATTAACACGCTTGGGTTGGATAACGCCACAGAGGTAGGAAAGAGATGGGGTTCTCTTCCACGTGAATCCGCTGGTGCCTCTTGTGATGAGAACTCCGGCTGAAGCTCTTCCCACAGTAACTACAGGTATAAGGTTTCTCTCCCGTGTGGATGCGGTTATGCTGCGTGAGGGTGGATTTGTCGGTGAAGCTCTTCTCACAGACGGAGCAGGTGTAGGGTTTCTCCCCCGTGTGGATCCTCTTGTGCCGGATGAGGTTGGAGCTGACGTTGAAGCACTTCCCACAATGGTTGCACGCATAGGGCTTTTCGCCCGTGTGGATGCGCATGTGTTTGACCAGGTCCGAGTTCTGGCTGAAGCTCTGCCAGCACTCCTCACAGGTGTTGGGGGTCTCCACAGCACATTTTTGTGGAGCCTTCTCACCTTTGCTTTCCCTGCCAGCCCTTGAACCACAGCCAGCCTTGTCATACCGACTACTCCTGGATTGCTGCTTTTCCAGCGGGGTCTTGGGGCGGTGATGGGGATGGGAACCCAGGCTGAATGTTTTCCCACAGTCGATGCACTGGCAAGGCTGGAAGTCCACCTGGGTCTGCTGGTGCTGTGCCAAAGCCAAGCTGTCAGGAAAACCTTCTCCGCAGTCTGTGCACACACAGGGCTCGTTGTCCACGTGCAGTTGCTGGTGTCTCCTGAAAGTGGAGCTCCTGCAGAAGCTTCTCCCACACTGGAGGCACTGATACGCCTTCTCTTTCTTGTGGGCTCCTTGGTGGCAGGCCAGCTCTGAGCTCCTTCGGAAGCTTTTCCCACATTCAACACAGACACTGGGTGTCTCCCCTATGAAGGTCTTCCGGGGCACAGTGGTGCCTTTGCGCCTGTTTCCATGGTGAGTGGGTTTAGCCTCTTTTGGCACCTGGGCCTTCAAGGGCTTCCTCAACTTCGGTGTTTGGGCCACATCCCTCTTGGTTCTTTTGGGTGACATTTCTGGTGGCTCTGTTCAGCCCTGGGGAAGGAATGGTTCTTTCATTCCAGGGCCTGCCCACTTGTTTGTTTCCTTCCTAAACTGGAGATGCTCGCACACACTTCCAGAACTTAGAAGACATTGGTGCAGTTAACCGTACCCTAGCAGGCATAAATAAGATTTAAGGAATGGAAGGATCTATAGGAATCCTTAACAAAATAGAAACTCTTCTATAGCCAGTGCTGCCAATGATTGTGTTGGCTGGAGAATGATGGGAGCTGTGGTCTGAACACATCCAGAGGGTGTTTTGCTGGAGAAAACTATCCGTCTTCTCGTTGCAGCACAGGGTTGGTTGTGTGGTCCGTGGGCCCCTTTTAAACAACAGAAGAGGAAAAACAAGTCAGGACCAACAAAGTTCCTCACGTAACCGATGGCTACATTGGTGGATTCAAAATACCAACTTCTACTGTCTTTTGGAAAAATAGCAATTGCAGCACATAAGAGCTTTACAGTACTTTAAACAGGAACATCTCTTTTCCTCCAGAACCGCGCAACTTTTTCTAAGAGCTTCTCTGCTCCCCAGTGTTTTAATACATAACAACATTGTACCTACCCAAGGAAGATGGCGGTGTCTTTTCACATGCATGACACAGATCCAGAGTGAAACAGGGAAATTTTGTGAATTTAAATGCCTCCTTCCAGAAGTAGACTTTAAAGCAGTGTTTCTTAACCTTGGCAACTTTAAGGTATGGACTTCAACTCCCAGAAATCCCCAGCCAACAAGCTGGCTGGGGAATTCTGGGAGTTGAAGTCCATACATTTTCAAGCGGCCAAGGTTGAGAAACACCGCTTAAAGCATCGCGAGGCAAGATTTCCTCCCATCTTTTCCACTACTCCTTGCTCCATTCCTTCGATCCATCCCTCTCGCTCTCACAGCAACAGGAACCATCAACACGTATCACCCAACCTGTTTCACACCAGGTTCTTGCAACACTCCCCCGCCAGCAAGCTGGGCACTGCAGTTTCAACACATTTAGAAGGTGGCTGGTTGGAACAAGCTAGCATTGAATTAGCGGAGCTAGGAGCAAAAAAGAAACGAGTGGAGGTAACTGCTCACGTCATTTCACCTGTCCCCAGATGCCTCTCAGATCTGGAGGCAATTTCCAGCATGTTCAGAACCTTTCATCCCACCCTCTGGTTCCTCCTCCTCCTCCCCACCTCTCCAAACACACCTCTGCTGAATGCAAGAAGGTCTGAGCTCTGCTGAATGCAAGAAGGTCTGAGCCTAAGAGGGTTTCCCCTCCTTAGGCTTTGTCTGCAACTGCAGATGATCCAGGAAGTTCATCTCCTAATATCCTGGTCAAAGGACAGAGAGAGTGCAAGGAGAAAGAGGGGAATATAAATCACCTTTTTCTTTCCAGCAGTAATAATAACCAGAGCCCCCTGGTGGCTACAGCTCCCCCTCTTTCCAGGCCCACAGCTGCTTCCTACTCCTCATAGAGACTCTCCTCTGGTTTGAATGGGGATGTCTTCACCCAGCCACGATCCACCTCCCTGGTTAAGTTTTCAGTGCTGCTGCCCGAAGGAAGATAAAAATGCATCTGATTGTGTGCATGTTCTCTTGCAACGCAAGAATTTGTGTCCGAAAAGCATTGCTTCCAAGCAGTCTTAAGTCAAAATAAGACTTTCCCCCTGCCCTGCCAAAGCAATTCCTGCATGGTGCGCCTTTCCCTGCTTCCAGACCATTGAACACAATTGCTTGTAAGCAGAGTACGGTGTAATCGACGCTTGGCCTTCTAAAAAGCCTGTTGCGCAATGCCTGTTCCCTTTCCGCAGCAATGGCCTTATGGGGAGAGTCAACAGTTGAACGCCCCTGTAGGAAAATGTCCTACAAGCCAAATCCAAACCCAAAACACCCCTGTGATTACATCTATGTAATTTCTTCCTGTGTAATATTTTCCTTTCCTTGTGTTTTTGTGTAGGGTAAATTGTTCGTTTTTATTTTACATTATTTTACGTTCGTTTGAAAATGGGTTAATTAGAACTATTGAGGGAGGGAAAAAAGGCAAATCCATGGGCATTTGGAGCACAAGACCTGTTTTACCAATCAGAGGAACTGACCCCCAAGCCAGGTGGGCTGTTCCTGACAGTGGCTAGTGGCCATTGAACAGGCCTGTTATTTAGCATATAAAAAGCTTCTGCTGGAAAACGCATCTCTCTCCCCAAATCTACTTATCTAGCTGAGGTAGTTGGAAGGAGAGATTGCTGAATTTTTGCCAGTTCCTTGATTGAGAGTCATGCATTGCTTCTGTTGAACTTTACATATTAGCTTGTTTATGCTATAGGCTTGATTTGCCAAAACTCACATTATTGTGCAAATGATATCAACCTTGGAACAGTTTGCACCCTCCAGATGCTTTCTATGCAGAAAGTCGCATATTATGCACGTCCCCATTTCTGGGGTTGGTGGGATCCATGGGCACACACACACACACATTTTCCTCCTCCTTCCCTTATTAATTGATGTGTTGATTGTCAGACAAACAAACATGAATTATTTTAGGGTGCAGAGGATATAAGGCGCATGGTGCCCGTCTTCTTTCCCCTTGATATTTTAAATGCTATTTATGCTGCTTCTTCACTTTACTTGTTGAAAAATTACTTTTGTTTTTACATCTGTCTGAAGCTGTGTGGTTTTGTTTCTTTTGATGGTCCCCCCCCCCCACTTTTTGGACAAAAGTTACAAGATTGTACAAGTTCCCCTTCCCTCCAAAGTTTATAAACCACAGTTCAGCTGGTAATTATTTTTTTTTACTGTCGTGAGCTGCCCAGAGTCACTTAGATGAGAAGGGCGGTCATACAAATCAAATCACTATCATCATATTGTGAACCACTGGCAGTTATTTGCTTAAGCGGGGCGGCCATGTACCTTTCTGAAATAAAATAAGTAAATAAATACAGAAATACATAAATGAGACAGGTAACAAAGAGCAACATAGATGTGAATTATTTAACTCGGTCAGCTCCAGTTGTGTTGATTTAAGACAGGGTGGCCAATCCACAAACTGCCTGCAACTTTCAACCACCCCATTTCTGGTTCCAAGAGCCCTAAGCAGGCAAGGTTAATATTTTTAGACCTTTTCTTGACTTTGGGGATTTATTTATTTATTTATTTATTTACTTACTTACTTACTTATTTATTAAATTTATATGCCACCCATCTCCCCTAGAGGGTGACTCTGGGCGGCTCACAATTAAAATAAAACCCCAAAACAGTTAAAAATGTAAATATCCGCATTAATTTAGTTAAAAAGCCGAACTCTATAAAAAGACCATATACATAAAAAGACTGGAGGGGATAAAGGGGGAAAAATAGGTGCCCTAAGCCTTGCTGGTAGTTAAGGCACCCGCTGCACTCCCTAACATCTGAGTGAGCCTACTGTTTGGGAAAGCGGGGTTAAGAGGTGCAATGCCAAATACTTACCAAGGATCAAGACATTGAAGCACACACCCCTGCAAAACCCACAAATCTGACCCGAACTTTCCGGACCCTCTTGCCCCAGCGATGGCCAGAGGTCAGGATCAATGCCTGCCCCTCCGAGCTTTTAGGCTTTGAAAGAGGATTTCCTGATTAACAGACTCTCAGATAGTTTGCTCAATCCATCACTGCAGCCTTTCTCTGAACTAGCCCAAACCATTCAGGGCTCATTTCCAAGGGCATGGAGGGGAGACGGGAACCTAGAGGGTCCTGCTGACTGAACTCCTCCCATTAAGGCAAGAGCAGGAAGTTCTCTCAGTCATGCATTCAAACGTGAGTCATCTACCTTTTCAGCCACTGTACAATTTTTTGACATGGCTTAAGATCATCATCATCACCAACACAACAGCAAAGGAGCCAAAATCACATATGCTGGTCAAAAAGCATTACATAAAAAACCTCCACATCCTGAGTTGAGAAATTTGATTATTCAGAAACATAAAAGGAAGTCATTCTTCACTCATTACATCATTTAACTTGTGGAATTTGCTAGTGCAAGTTGATGATGGCACTCAACTTGAAAGGCTTGAAAAGATAGCTACCCTGACTACATTTTGTCCTTGCATTAAGGCCACCTTGGGAGGATGGGTGGGTGAGTGCTTGGATGCTTGGATGCTTGCATACGCAGAAGGAGGCAAAGGGTCTTCCTCACAGTGGCAATTATGTCTGGGGTAAGAAAGGTTGAGCAGCTGAATGTCCACCAGCTTCACTGGAATGTGTCCCTCAAGCAGCCTGCCATGGAAAGGAAGAGCAGTAATAGATGTCTGATGGGAGAAGTCTACAGATTAACATACATGTTTGAAAGAAAAAATCCATTTGGTATTTTTAAAGCTGTGCTTTCTATCTTGTTAGGCTTCAGGAAGACACAGAATATGTTTCACCGGAGATCATCCCCTCCTCATAAAGACTGGCCAATAGTCACTTTTCAAGACAGGGTGGTGGTGGTGTCCCCGCAGCAGGATCAACTCTGGTAGGTAAGGAGAGGGCCAGAAAGAGAACATGACAGCAGTTCTGGAAGAAGACCAGAGATCCGTACAGACCAAAGGATTCTGATTTTGGCAAATTCTGGCTTTTCCAGGTTCCTTGGAACTGGAGAATTCTAAAGAATGCACAAGGCAGCAGTTGAGCAGAAGTTTAGAGGAACACCAGGAAAGAAATCTACTGGCCCCTCCCTCCATCTCTTGTTAGCAATTTGCTTGGGTCTATATTCATGTTTTGGAGACAAGGTTGCTTGGCATACAGAGTTCCCAGGATGTTCAAAGTCCCTTTTCTCATTCCCCACTATCCATTCTTAAGTTGTAAGTTTGTACAATCTGAATTCAGAAAGATACAGCCCCACATCATGTGAGATATATTTTGAGGGACGGTTTCTCTGTGCGGACTTCATAAAGTTGATTGCGGTGCAATGCAATGGGGGTGTTGCTGTGGATTGAAGAACACAGGATGTGGCATAAGGAGAACCGGCACAAATGGGCTTTTGAAA